AAATGTGTCAGCAATAAATAATCGGTTCTGTTCCAAGTTGCTGCAGATTTTTTTTCTATTTTTAAGAAATGCAATCAATTATTTANGAGTCGATTAAACCTCCACGAATTTTGCCTCGTCCATCCAGAATTGGGTGAATGTACACATACCCAATAAATGTGCAAAGAATTGATTAAATTAAATACGGTAGGATTTTGAAGTCGTGATGAATTCCGTTACAATTATCCACCAACCACTGTGCTATTTCGAAATTCTGATCGACATCTAAGAGTATTTCCATAGGGAGTGCATGCAAAAATTCTGCAAAGACCTTTCGGAAACACATATTACCAGCCCCATTAAAGCATAACAAAATCGGGAATGTTCTAGAAAATCAGCCAATTATTAAAGGTTTGAATGTGATTCCGTTTATTGAACTCTGATTCGTTAGATTGCAACGGCAAACAAGTCGCGTTGCTTGCACGGCGTAAGAAATGTGTCAGCAATAAATAATCGGTTCTGTTCCAAGTGACTGCAGATTTTTTTTTCTATTTTTAAGAAATGCAATCAATTTTGAACGAACACTTAGAAAAAATTGGGATCAAAGCAATTATTGTACGTTACACATAGAAAAAAAAACACGATCAAAAGAAAAAATAAGGGATGAGGAAGTTTGCAGCTGGAGAAACGATCTTTGTGATCATTATAACAGTGGCGATTTGATGAGAAGAGTGGAAAGCGAATACGGACAGGTTCTGAAGGGTTCAAAGATTCGAAAAACTACCTTTGGGTGGGTGATGTCATTTCTCGCCATCGTCTGTTCATACGATAGTCACGATACGCCCGTTGGATGATGATGGCAGCTCGGTTGGCACGTGCACGACCTCCGTATCGTTTCTCTAGTACCTAAATAAGGAGTATCGATTTTGTAATAGAAAAGGGAAAAGAGGAAACTCAGGCAATGAAAATTAAAAAGGGACTGTGACGAGCGACGATTATTTGGGAGAAGGGCAGTAGGAAAGGTTTTGTGTAATCGATTCGCCGCACGCGGCTGTCGCGGACCATTTGCTTCATTATAACAGTTCAAGCGTTCTTCATGCAGTACACTTGCTTGCGATCATTACTTTATGCATGATTCTACTCTTTCCTTTTGCTCTTGAATTTCTTACTTGCTGCTGCATTCCGCTACATTCCTTCGCGCGCGGCTCTCTCTAGCCACTACGCGACAATTTCGTTCCTACTGCACCACACCCCGATTATTTGATCAATATTTCTCGTTTCAAGTCATTTCAAGTGATAGCATTTTAAATTCTACCTAAGAAATAAGGTGGACTTTAATGCTAAAAAGAAATGAGGAAAGGCAAAAATACCAAGAAACCGCGCAGAAACCGCTGAGGTATAACATACATGGGTGTACAGATATCTGTGAATAATAAAATTGAAAACAGCAAAAAAAAAAGTGAAGAATGAGAGACTCTGGAAAGATTAGAAAAGGTTAGAAAGAAAAAGAAGTTTCCTGAGAGTAACCCACTACTCCTACTTTTTGAACAAGCGAGCACGCCAACAAAGAATGGGCACGACTCAGCGCGCGCGCGTTAAATCAATATCCATCCCGAAGCACATGCTCCCGTGAATCGCCTGAGTAGTGAAAACAACGTCAAGTTTGATGTACATCAATTAGGACTGATAAACATGGCAACAACCTGAGTACTTTGATCAGTAGTAAATGGGACAGGAGTAGGAAAAGTTTACTAAACAGGTGGGACTTTTTCCTTCGTGAAACTAAGGGAGGAGAAAAACAAAGGATAAAGCCTTTCGGTGGATGAGCCCTGCGTTCGGATCCCATTCAGGATCGTAGGGACGTTTAAGTGAGCACAAGTGTGGATATGTGGAGTATAGTACGAATTGTGACGGCAATTTGATGAATAGGACTGTGCTTTCATCCCCCATACGCGTCTGGTATCAATTGATCAACCCCGAAGGGGTGGAGAATTGTTTGGGCGAGAATCGATCCGGGATTCTATCTATGAATCAAACGTCAGAGCACTATTCGGTACTACAGCACCTTCGGCCATTTCTGAAAATAGAGAAAATGGATATAGCGAGACCTTTGGTTTTACAATATCAATCCCGATCAGATCCGAAGGAAATGTCAGTTTTCACATGCTGGGGACCCTAGCTCGAACATAAAAGTTTCCGTTTGACTATTTTTCGTTGACGGAATGTTTGAACCAGTAGATAAGGTACAGTGTAGAGATATACGACGGACGGCAGATGCATGGCGTCGCCAGCGACAAGCTCAAAATGGCTTCTGGATAGGCTATAAAATGCACTACAAGAAGAGATCAAAAAGGATTTGCGGACGTTCAAAGGCGCGATGAAAATGGCTTCTGAGACACATTCCTAAGATGATCCAGTGACCCTAAGGATAGCAAAGAGGACGCTTTGGGGTCGAAAAACGTCCTAGATAAGGCGTAATAAAGGTTCCAAAACCGGATTAATCACAAACACCCGAATGGAACGAGTTTTCACGGTTGTAAAGGCTGTAGAGGTTGCATCATTCGCACCGGGACCCACACCTTGCACGTAGGCAGCTCATTGTAGCCGGCTGTATGCAATGGCGCGCATATTTGAACAGCTCGTCCAGATAATCCCTCCATACAACCTTCCGCCGCTACATTCTCGTCCAACCCCCTCTACTACCTCTTAAAGGCCACTTTATATTTATCTATTCGCCTATTTGTGCGTTTTATTCGTCACTTTTGCACTATTCTGAACTACCAATTTTATTTTTCGTCCAAAAATTGATACCCCCGAGTTATTAAGGACTGTGCCTTTAACAACACGACTGTCCAGAACAGGTATTGAGCTGACCATGACCGATGGAAGACCTAGCATGATAACATGTACCTAACAATAGTATAATGTGATAAGTACATCATATCAAAGGGAGGAACCACATTTCCCTCTCTAGACTTGATCAAAGCAGAACCCATAAGTGAATAGAGCACGGTCAGAAGAACTTCGAAGTAGGAGGTTTGGAACAAATCAGTAGAAATGGCTCTGACAACACTCATGTATGACAAACGTAATAGCTGCCATTCTCAAATTTTGTCGGAGCCGGCGAATCGCAAGGTTAGTCGCCTGAAGATGTTTGCGGACCTTGTGACACAGTCACCGACGTTGTGGTTCCTTGCTGGTATACCTGCCTCGGACCGACGGCTGCTTCCGCAGTCCGCAGGGCACAGTCCGTCCGTCCGGCCGACCTTTTCATGTCAGGGACACCTGCGGTAACTGAGGGCAGTACCGCAAATCAGCCTGCTAAGCCAGGACCATAGAGTGACCTGAAGGTATTGGATGGTTGAGTAAGTCAAACGCTTGTCCTCGCGATGCTTTCCCGGTAAACAACCTGAGTTACTGGGCTCTCAAGATCCAATATGTTATTTGTG